CCCAGGACTCAGGATTCAGAGGTGGATGGATCTCTGACAGTTCAAGGCCACATTGACTACACGAAATTGATCCAGTGGTAAGAGAAACGGCTCACACAAAGATGATCTCAGCACTTGGGATCACCCTCCTTTAGTCCCAGCTCCAGAGGTATAAAAGATAGGAACAGGGTCTCAGATCTAAAACTCATTCTTTAGCCACATTAAGGATAGGAAGACATTGAAGTCTCAGGATTCTTTGCATCCACACAGAGAAGAGGCACCACTCTGAGGCTTGGTGAAGAGCTCATGAATCAGTCTTTCAGCCTGAGCTAGAGGTAAGAGCTAGTTACCAACTGCTTTGCTTTTCTGATCTTCAGCTTGGAGCTTGAACCCCAATATCAGTCTCTGAGTCTTTTATTTTTCGTGTTATATTGGTGCCCACTTTTTTTTTTTTCCGAGACAGGATTTCTCTGTATTGTTTTGGAAGCTGTCCTGGAACTCGCTCTGTAGACCAGGCTGGCCTCGAACTCACAGAGATCCTCCTACCTCTGCCTCCCGAGTGCTGGGATTAAAGGCGTGCGCCACCAAAGCCCGGCTAGTGTCCAAAGTTAAAGTATAAATTCACGAAAAGCTGCTTTGAGGCCACGGGCCCAGGCCCAAGCCTGAGCTGCAGGCAGGACTCCCACCTGAGTCTCTGCCCAACCAGGTAGGTTTTCTTCTCAAATCTTTGAGCAAGTGTGGGTTTTTTCAGTTGTAGTTTTTCTTAACAGTCTTCAGCTGTCACCCAAACTCAGCAGGCTTTTGGGTTTTTCCTACAACCCCTCTCCTCAAGCTATCAGGAGAGGTACAAACTTTCACGAAAAGACTCAAGATCAGGCTATTCCCTGGTCCCTGTCTTTCTTTTCTGTAGCAAATGTAGGAAATGCAGATGGTAACTTTGTTAGCATTTAAGACCATTTGTTCCAATTGGAGGACTCCAGGCCAGCACCTTATACACTGTATCTGAACGTTCTGTATCAAGTCAAGAACCATTATTTACCAGACCAGAACCCTATTGAGTCTCACTGTATCATTCAGTCTGGCCTAAAACTCACTATGTAGACTGAGCTGGCCTTGAACTCACAGTAATCCTCTTGGCTCAGTCTTTCTCAACCCCCAGTACACAAGAGGGTTGGGACCACAAGTGTGCACCATCAGTTCAGCTGACATGGGAGAGACAAAAGGAGAGATATGGGTGAATTCTCAGAGACTTCCCCAACAGAGGAAGCAAGAGTGGGGGTTCTTTGATACAGTTAAGGGGAGTTGCTTGACCTCATCTCTTGTCATTTGTGTGGGATTCATGTCTATAGAAGTAAGCAGACATCTCACAATCTTGTTAAGTAGTAAGTTTTCTATCCAGTTATCTTTCTTGAGACTGGACATTTGAGGTAAGACCATGGGTCACTGGGTGTTATACTCTAGATGTTTCTGTGAAGGCATTAAAAGACACGGGGCAGGCTCCAAGTAGTTAGGTAGGGTTTATTGTTAGGGCAGTTTTGTTTTTATTTCTGGCATTTGCGCATACATTTTGCCTATTTATTTACTAGATTTTATTTTGTTTGTACATATGTGTGAGAAGGGGTGGGGAAAGTGTGCCTGCCTATGCACAGGACAATTTGGGGGTTCTCAGTTCTCTCCTACTTTTTTTTAGTTAATGTGTGTGCCCATGTGAGTTTATGTGCTATGTGCCTTCAGAGGGCAGAGAGCATCGGCTCCCCTGGAGCTGGAGTTACAGATGATGAGCCCCTGTGTGGTTCTGGAAACCATACCCGAGTCCTCTGGGAGACTGCCTGTTCTTAAGCACTCAGGCGCCTCTCCACCTTGGTTTTAAGGCAGGGTTTTTCCTGTTGTTTCTGCCATTGAACTTTTGATAAAAGCTACAGTGTGACTCTCCTGTCTCTCTTCCCATCCTCCATACCAGTTCTGGAATTATAGAACTCATTTGGCTTAAACAAAATGTACTGGGGCTGGCTAGATGGCTCAGCAGTCATGAGCACTGGCTGTTTTCCTAGAGGACCAGGGTTAGATTCCCTGCAAACACATGGCAGTTTACAACTGTCTGTCACTCCATTTCCAGGGCATCTGACACCCTCTCCTGGTTTCTGTGGGTAACACGCATGCATGTAGTGCAAAGACAGACAGAATACACATAAAGGGAAATAATATTGTAGTGATATATTATTTATGATTTATTAAAACTTGCCTGAGGAGCCGGGCGTTGGTGACGCACGCCTTTAATCCCAGCACTCGGGAGGCAGAGGCAGGCGGATCTCTGTAAGTTCGAGACCAGCCTGGTCTACAAGAGTTAGTTCCAGGACAGCCTCCAAAGCCATGCAGAGAAACCCTGTCTTGAAAAACCAAAAAGAGCCGGGCATTGGTGGCGCATGCCTTTAATCCCAGCACTTGGGAGGTAGAGGCAGGCGGATCTCTGTAAGTTCGAGACCAGCCTGGACTACCAAGCGAGTTCCAGGACAGCCTCCAAGGCCACAGAAAAACCCTGTCTCGAAAAAACAAAACAAAACAAACAAACAAAAAAACAAAAACAAACAAAAAAAAACTTGCCTGAGGATTCAGAAAGCAAAGTCAGCCACAAGCCACAGAAGCCAGGCACACACCTTTAATCCCAGCAGCTAGAAGCTAGGAGGTGGTGGTACACACCTTCAATCTTAAGACGCAGGATTAAGAGGTGCTGCTGTCCAATGGACATATTTACTAGGCTAACCCACCGGGATTGTCATCAGTGCATTCTGCTGGAGAGAAACCACATTTGCAAAGCCTTGGGGATACCTGCCTTTTGAATAGTCACTGTCATCTCTGAAATGCCCTTGTGAAGCCATGGTGCTCCCCCTTTCCCATAGTGGGATTTGTCTCCCAAAATCACAGCAGTGTATTAATCAATTATTGGACACAACTCCTTCTTGTACTTGTAACTGGCTAACCATGGGGCCGTGGTGTGGAAGTATTCATACAGTCAAGGAAATCTTCATAGTCAAATCTACATAACTTAGAAGCTAGCAGCCTACAATTATCTCCTATGGCAGGACACCTGGCAAGGAGAGGAGCCTTGCAAACAAACCACATGCAGAGCTTCAAAAGACAAGAGACACAAACGTCTGCCCCCACTGACAAGCAGGACTGGATGGCACCAGTGGACTCAGGAAAGTACAGTCTACTAGCCCGAGGCTGGGCTGGAAGCTGCAGCCCCCAGATCTCAGGATCTCACTCACATAGCTTCCCCCCTTTGATCTAGTGTTGAGAATTGAGCCCTGCTCCTCTGCAAGTGCACCAAGTGCTGACCATCTTTCCAGTACCCTTATCTGGATTTTTATGTGGATTCTAGGAATTTTAACTCAGGTCCAGGCTTGTATGGAAAGCACTTTTACACACTGAGCCTTTTGGGACTGGATATTACTATAATGCCCAAGCTGGTCTCAAATGTAAAGCAGAAGTTAGCAAACTTTGGCCTTACACCAAATCCAGGCGTTTTGTTTAGTTCTTAAGAAAAGTTTGGACCTTTTTTTTTTTTTTTTGGTTTTTCGAGAAAGGGTTTCTCTGTGGCTTTGGAGGCTGTCCTGGAACTAGCTCTTGTAGACCAGGCTGGCCTCAAACTCACAGAGATCCACCTGCCTCTGCCTCCCAAGTGCTGGAACTAAAGGTGTGCGCCACCATGACCTGGCTGGTAAAATTTTTTATATGAAAAAAAAATCAAAAGAAGAGTATTTGGTGACATATGCAAATAATAAAAAACTAAAAGTTCAGTGTACACACTAGTTTTTCTAGAACACAGGGGTTTTCATTCAGGTACTGTAGCATCTATGGCTTCGTTCTTGCTTCAGTGTCACAGTCCAGAAGTCCTCAGCATCAGTATTTGCTACCTGTCCTCTTCAATGTGTTAGTCATTGTGCTGAAACATTCTATATGCTCCTCAGTTATGGTCTCATCTGGTTAATAGTCTGCTCTTTGTCCTGTATTCACGCTCTCTTTTGGTGCTGGGGATCAAACCCAAGGCCATATTCTGCTCATGCTGTGGTGCTGAGCTACACTCCCAGTCCTTTCCAAACCTTCTGCCTTGAAACTTTGTGCTGCTTCTACTTTGCCCTTGTTTTAGGTCACATGACTAGCTTTGACCAATAGGAATTTAAATAGAAGACTGACCTGTGAGTGCAATGTGACACGCTCTCTCCTGCTCTAAGTCACCATCATGCGCACAGACCCAGGGTAGTCTGCTGGTGGATGAGTCATAAGACCCGCAGCCCAGTAAACTGTTATTCCTTCTGAGGTCATCCTAGGCTAGCCAAGTTAAAGGTCCAAGATTACCATGGCTGACCACAAACAGACTTGAGCAGGCCCAGCTGCAGTCACCCTCATCAGCCCAGATCAGCTGAACCCCACCTTGTGCCAGTGAACTGCACAGGGATGGATGCACACTACTGAGCCTGGTGATGGTTTGTTACATGTTACTCCAGCAATAGAAAGCAGCATATAGCCAGGTGATGGCGGTGACGCCTTTAAACCCAGCATTTGGGAGGCAGAGGCAGGTGGATCCCTCTAAGTTCAAGGTCAGCCTGGTCTATGGAGCTAGCTCAGGACAGCCAGGGCTATACAGAGAAATCCTGTCCCTAACCCCCTCTCCTAACACCAAAAAGAAAGTAGCATACAAATTCTAAAACTTTCCTTTGCCAAACAGGTGCTGGAGCATTTTTTTTCTCCTGAGGGCAATTTTCGCTTCTAGCAAACATAGAATCTGAAGGAAGCACAGAAATCTGGGGGCAGGCATGAGATCACACCTTGAATTTCCAAAGAAGTAAGTACCAGAACAGAACTCTTGTTTCGTTTTGTTAGAGACAGTCTTCATATCGAAGCCCAGTGTGAATCTCTATCTAGTTTATAGCTCAATCTGCCCCATGGGTCAAAGAGACTCTCTGACTTGGTATACCTCTCCACCATGAAGACACCTAGATAGACACAGACTTTACCATTTATAAAAAGAGAGAGAGAGATTCAATTTATTTCCTTTTAGAACTGTAAAAAAGTACTTTGGTTATAAAGTCTAAATGACTAAGATGTGGTTGGTTAGCAGGACACGCCCATCATTGTCTATAACCTCCAGTCCCTCAAGTATGGTATCAGGAGAGCAGGGTGGGCTGGGAGGCTGATACCTAAAAGCTGAATGAACCGTAAGCTTCAAAGAGTGGGAGCTCCAGAGCTGCAGAGCCCTTGGGAAGGACGGGGGGGGAAGAGAAAGTGCGTGGTACGGAGCAAGAGGAGAAGGAAAAGGATGGACTGAGGTAGGAGGCAAGATTGCACTTTGTTCTACAGTCTGGGGAAATACTTTAACTTGGAATGGGGAAGGTCTTCCTTCTTTCTGAGATCGGGTCTCTCTCTGCAGGCTATCCTAGAACTCACTAGGTAGGCCCAGGGTGGACTCAAACTCATAAAAATTCTCCTGCCTCAGTTTCCAACCACGCCTGAGAGTCTTCCTTCTTGAATGCTGAGCACAGCTGGCCTGAGCATGTCCTAAGAAGTCCGTGTCTCCTGGTGCCAAGGGCTGTCCTTCCCTGGAGAGCAGCCCAGAAGTTTCTACCAGGAAGGAAAGGCATTCGCCAACGGGACATGAAGTAGTCACCTTCGGACTTGCATGAACTCCTTTCGCAGCCATAGTGAGTCCTGGTAAAAGCGGGGGTCGCCCAGTCTCACAGCTGTCCGTTTGTAGAAGTAGAAGTATAGCACTGCCGCTGAGGACAAAAGCAGAGAGTAGCTTCAGTCAGGGACAGCCTCAGTAAATCCCTTCGGGGAAAGCCAAGCCCAGCTGGCCCCGGCACTGCCCCAGGCTTCTCCCTGTCTCCCAGGAAGAGAGGAGTGCAGCCCTTCCTCTTTCCTTTCTGTGTGGCTGTCCCAACCATCCCAGGCCATCCTGATGGAGCCGGGAAGCCAGAATCAAGGCTGTGCTGCCGGACACAGCAGGACATGAGTACACCTGAAGCTGCTCCACTCCTCACCTAGTCTCTGGAATACAAACAGTGTTTGAAGTCCGTCTGTCCAAATGAAGCCGCTGGAGTTTTTCCATCGCAGGTTCTAAAGGAGACAGGAGTAGAAAGGGAAAGGTTAAAGGCTACATGACACTATTACATCTACGTGACACTATTACATCTACGTGACACTATTACATCTACGTGACACTATTACATCTACGTGACACTATTACATCTTCTACTTGCTTGAAAGCAGCAAAGCCACTTGGTTAAAAAATTCACTCTAATCTTACTTCTTTTCACAAGGCCAAAGCCTCAAACTCCTCTGTAAAGATTCTTATGAGGCTGGAAAGATGGTTAAGTGGTTAAGAGCACTGACCTATATTCAGTTCCTAGCACCTACACAATGGCTCCTATAACTCCTATACAATACTATATCTCTAGTTTCAGGGGATCCAGTGCTCTCTTCTGGCCTCTGTGGACACTGGGCATGCTCATGATGTACATATGCAGGCAAACACTCATACACATAAAACAAGTAAATAGAATTTTTAGCTAGCCTGACCTAAATAATGAGTTCTAGACCAACCAAGACCATAGTAGTGAGACTCTGTCTCAAAAAAATCTTTAATTAACAAAAATTGTGTGTGTGTGTGTGTGTGTATGCGTGCGCCAGTATGACACAGCATGCATGCAGAGATAGAGTCCGTTCTCTCCTTCTGTCATGGAATCAAACTCAGGTTGTAAAGCTTGGCAGCAAGTTCCTTTACCTGTTTAGTTATCTTACCATCTCTCAGCTGCCCCCCTGTTTCCCCACCTTTTTTTTTTTTTTTTTTTTTGCTTCAAAGGGATCTCCTCTAAGCTTGAACTGAAGCATTTATCTCCTTCCACTCTATTGCCTTTGTCAAGAAGAAATGATCTCAGGAGCTTCGGTGCTCACTGTCCAGGCCTCAGTCTCAGGCTCAGGAGAAGGTCACAACTTCGGTGCATTTAGGCTCAGGGCTCAATCACATCAACAGCCTGAACACAGGGCTCCAGGAAGAGGAGCACAAACTCTGGGAGAGGAAGCCCCTGGACCCCTGCACACTGCTCTGCTTCTTCTCTGTGGCATCCCAGCGGCACCCACACAGTGGGTCAAATGAAAAGCAAAAAAGTGACCGCTTTATTTTGTTTGTGATGCTGAGAACCAAGGCCAGGGTCTCACAAATTCTAGGTAAGAGCTCTAACCCTGGGGCCACACTCCTAACACAGAGTCAGGGATTTTAATAAGTTTCATCAAAATAAGCATATAAGAGAAACATAAGCTATCCAAAAACATGGAAAAAATTATAAAACGGAAGAAATCTGAATGGTAATGGCCTGCAAGACCTCCCAGGAACCCAAGTAAATGTAAAAATGGAAGGAGAGAGGGGACAGAGAGACAGCTCAATGGCTAGGAGCATTTGATGCTCTTTCAGAGCACCAGAGTTTAGTTCCTCGCACCTACACTGGGTGTCTCACAACGCCTGTAACTCCAGCTGCAGATCAAACTCCTTCTTCTGGGGCACCTGCACCCACTCAGCCACATGCACACACACAAACACACACACATGCGTGTACACACTGACATAAACTTCCAAATTATATTCTTAAAAAAGCAACCTGAAACCATGAGAACTAGATCTAATCTGGAACCTACAGGAAAACTAAGGAGAAAAATCTTGGGGATTGAGTTTCTGGTATAAAGATGGGGACTCAGCACTGGGCAGAGAGGAAAGCAACACTCGAGTGGCTGCTTCTCAGAGACACCCAATGCCTGTAATATTAACCACGGAACACTAACCCTAACCCCGGTAAACACCCACCTACCCATGTATCTGATGACAAAACAGACTCAACTTCCTGTTTTAACCCTGGTAGGTAAACTGACTGCTACAAATAGAAAAGTCCCTGGATTCTATAAGACAGAAAGCTGGACAAAGTGCCTATGAACTGTCACATGCTAAACTCCATCCAGAACACCTTCATATAGCCACCTTCTACCAGAATTTCCAGAGGACAGAGACTTCTAGTTGGATTTCCTTTTGGCAGGATGGGGTTTTATCAAACCTAGGGCACTGAGCCTTCCAGGTAAATACCCTGCTGCCAAGCTATATTCCCTAGCCCTTACCATTTTCTTCCGGGTGTTTTGTTTTTGTTTTGTGTTGCTTTTTAAATCAAGCCTTTTGTATCTGTAGGAATGAATCAGATCAACAGCCTGAATATAAAGCATCTATGTCACATAGACCCCAGATCAGATCTGATTTTCATAGCTTCTGATTTCTGCATCCCCATTTCTTCTATCTCTTTGTGTACATCGTGTTTTTCATACTTCTTTAAAAAGAGAGAGATTTATTTATTTTTGGCATGGTGTATAATGCTATTAAGTCCTGGCTGGCTAGAACTATTTTTATAGACCAGACTGACCTCTAGCTCACAGAGATCTGCCTGCCTCTGCCTCCCAAGTACTGGGATTAAAGGCGTGCGCCACACATGTCTGGAAACTGATTTACTTTTATGTGTATATGTGAGTGCTTCCTGTGCATATGTGTACCATGTATGTGCCAGTGCCATCAGAGCCCAAAGAGTTGGATCCCTTTGAATTGGAGTTACAAGAGATTGTGAGCCAAATCTAGATCTTCTGCAAAAGAAGCAAGTGCTCATAACTGCTAAGCCATCTCTCTAGTCCATCATGTTCTGAGTTGGAAGAATGGTTCAGCAAAGCTTGCTTTTGAACTTATATGTAGCCCAGACTGAACTTGCCATGGTCTTTAGAGAACTAATTATTACAGGTATACACTACCACATTTTTCTTGTTTTCCCCTCTTGAGGCAGGGTCTTACACTATAACCCAGGCTGGTCTAGAACTTAACTGTGTAGCCTGGGATGGCCTTGAATTTGTGGTAATCCTCTTGCCTTAGCCTACTGTGCTAGAATTACATGTTTTAGCCACCATGCCAAGGTATTTCTAGCTCCTTAAAGATGTGAAAGGCCTGGTGAGGCAGCTCAGTGGTTGGGGGCATTTGCTGCCAGGCCTGATGACCTTAGTTCAATCCCCAGAACCTACACGATGGAAGAGAACCAGCTCCCACAAGTTATCATTTGGCACCCAGAGCTCTATCCACCTGCACACTGACATAACACAATACCTGTATAAAGTTTTTAAAAATTAAACATGTAAGAATTCAGGGCTTTCACTCTTACCATGACCCATATATGAAGGGAGATGCTGAGGGCGAGGTACACAGCAGTTAGAATGATGGTCCCTTTGAACTTATGGAATAGGAGGCTGACCAGGCCAGCCTGGAAGACGAAGGTGTTGAAGAACATGAGGAAAATTATGATGATGTTGAAGAGAATTGCAATATCCTGGATGCTGTGGACACATAAAGTATAGCCAAGTGAGGGTTATGTGCGGACTTAAGAGATGGCCCTAAGTTCTAAGGGACACCATGAAATCTGTTCTTCTCTGAAATATAGTCACCCCAAACCCCCAGACAGCACAGACTTCTGGACACACTGATGACTTTTAAGATGCTCAACTGTGACTGTCAGACCCTTCAAACTGTTTGGATTCAGCTTTTCAAGTCTGTCTCCTATACTCACATGAAGAGCACCAGCTGGATGACAGGAGCCATTCGGAGTAGCTCCGAGAAGGAATTGACAAACAGGTCATAGGACAGCAGCAGGAACTGCAGGGAGAGCACCAGGCTGTAGTTGCTAGTTTGGAGCATCTTCTGTTTGCTTTTGGGGACTCCCAAGTGCACATTCCACAGCTCTGTAGAGGATAACTTCTGCTTCTCTACCGGGTATTTGGGGAGAGAAGTCTAGTTTTTCCAAATCAGAGCTGTTTCCCTGGCTCTGATGCAAGGACCTGTTTGGAGGGGAGAGAATCAAGGAAGGAAGGAAGATATGACAAAGAGAGCAACACTAGAAGCCTAGTGATAAAACATTACTGAGCACCAGTAAGCAAAACACCGAGAAAACAAAACAATAGAGAAAACAAAAACCCAGCTAAAGCCCAGGAGTAGCGGCATACACTTGCAATCACAATATTCAGGAGCTAGAAACAGGACTGAGTGTTTGAGTCTGGCCTGGGCTAAGACAGCCAAGCCTCTTCTGCAAACAAAACAAGAGAAAGCCAGACCACACCCATCCTGACTCTGCCCCACGGCACCTCAATTGCCATTCTTTCTAGAGACTAGTAACACCAGACTGTTCTCCACACCTGGGTCCTTTTACACATACAGCTCTTTTCTTTTTCCTTCTTTCCCCCGAACTTGCTATGTAGCCCCAGCTGGTTTTGAATTCTTGATCCTCCTGCCTCAGCTTCCTGAGTGCTTGTTTTACAGGAGCACCTCGTTACACCTGACAAATGCACAGGCCTAACCAAGAATATTCAGGAGCACTTACAGACAAGTGACAGCCTGGTTATGTTGTAGTAGTGGAAGTAATAAATCCTTACATATTACATGCAACACCCTAGAGACTGTTTCCATCACAGATATTATTTAAATCTTACAATAACCTCATGAAGTAGGAGACACTTTCATTTTCCCCAATTCATAGATGAGAACACTGAGGCCCAGCAAGGTGAACTAATTTGGCAGATTACACAGCTGGTAAGTGGCAGAGTGCTATTCTGATGGAGGCACTGTGCGGCCAGTCTATTTCATAACTGACAGATATCTAAGTGGAGGGTGTGGTCTCATATAAATAGGCAGTGTCAGACAGAAAGAGCTCAGAGGACACAGTACCTTCCTAGAAGAGCTTATTAAGCTTATGACAGAAACACAGCAGCAGGAGTAAGGGAGTATATGCATAACCTACTTAATCCCTGGCCTTGAAAAGCAGTCATTTTAGTGCATATAAGCCCTGTTTTTCAGGGGCTCTGAGAGTCCCAGACCCTGTCCACCTCCTATGGTGGAAAAGCCCCATGTTATTGGACATACGAATATCCAAGCTTTTCTGGGCTTGAGTTTTCACTCTCCTCTCTCTCCAGGTACCGGCGCCAGGATAATCTTGTTGACCAAGAGAATTTCCTTTAATCCTCCCAACACTCTGCATGGTAGGAAAGAATTATCCCCTAGCTACAGGCAGGGACACACATTTAGAGTTCAAGTCATTTTCTCCAGATCCCAAGGGCCAAACGCGTCACTTAACGAGGGCCACTGTGAGCATCCCTTAGAAGCACCCTCCAGTTTAACGCGGTTTTCCTTACCCTTCCCAATCCTCCCACAGATCGATGCCTCGGCAGAAGGCCCACAGCAAAGGCAACGGCAACAAAAAATTCTGACTTCTGGCCACTCTTCGCTCGGCTCATCAACTATACTCACCTCAAAGAGCCAACGTCGGTTGTCATGGAAACCCAGTCTCGGCTTCCGGAAGCCGGCTTTAAATTCCGGAAGTAGATGGCTAATTGCCCGCCGTGTTTGGGCCTTCCCTCTCTCCGTGCCTGGTCCTTCCATGCCCCTCGCTGAGGGCGGGCCCTAGGCGAGAGGCTGTTAACGCCAGCATTTCTCCTTCCTCAGGATGGGGGTGGGGTTAGAGACAAGGCACACCACAGGACGCAGGGCTCCTGCGAATCCGTCCAGGAACTCGCGCCTTAGCACGCAAACTTCATTTCCCAGACGCCCTAGCGTACCATCGGAAGTGCCCGAGCCTATAAGTTTCCAGGCAGCGCCCTCTGTAGCGAATCCCGCGGACTGCAGGCTTGCCGGAAAGTGAGTTTTTCAACGTCCTGGAGGAGCCTGGCTAGTGGCAGCTCCCGCGCTTGGCAGCGGCCAAACGGTCGCAGAGACCTGGCCCCGAGGTGTCCCACTGTGTGGTTAGGGGTGAGAAAGAGCCCGGGCTGGGAGAGCCGGGACGTGGCTTCCAGCGGTGGCCCCACTGCTTCCTTGCTTCGCGCTGTCATATCCTGGCATTCAGCCTGCTTTTCCTTTTAAGAATCGGACGCTTTCCGTGCCCCTTCCATACTGTACCACAGGTGGTGTTTGTAGAGGCTTTGCCGCTTTTCAGAAAGAAGGCTTCTTATCTAAAACTTGCTAGGACCAGGCTGACCAGAGGGATCAGCGTCTACCCCTTGTGCCTCGAACAGATCTGACCGTCCGAAGGACGAAGGAGCAGCCTGTGAGCACTTGTGCTAAGGTGACTTTCTTCACACTCCTGAGTGGAATGTTATAGGTCGCTCACTCCTGAGTCCTGCACTTTGGAGGAGCTGCCCTTGGAAATGAGTTCTGGGAACTGAGGACAGGACCCGGATGCCCGTTCCAGGCTTGCCACTTGCCTTGACCAAGTCACTGTCCTTTGGATCCCAACTTTGCAGTGCTTTTGAACTGTAAGACGTGGGTTGATAGGATTTGAACTCTAAACCTGGTCTGCGGGATTCTTAATGTTCCTCCGTCTTTGAGGAGAGAGCAACAAACTGCCCCATGGTCTGAAAAGTAACTGCATCTGGAGTGCAGCCTTTTCCTGAGAGGAAGGACTGAATGAAGATTCATTTCTTACCCCTGGGACTGGTTCTGGTTTCTTCAGCCTATGAGAACCCTTTAGCCAGAGAATTGAGGAAAACATTAAATAAAGATAAAGATTAGGTACAAGTCTTAAGCCTGGATAGATAAACTACACCCCATAGGCCTCATCTAACCCTGAGTGGCCTTTCCACTTTATTTATTTGTTTATTTATTTACTTATTTATTTGGTTTTTCGAGACAGAGTTTCTCAGTATTGTTTTGGAGGCTGTCCTGGAATTCACTTTGTAGACCAGGCTGGCCTCAAACTCACAGAGATCCACCTGCCTCTGCCTCCTGAGTGCTGGGATTAAAGGCATGTGCCACCACCGCCCGGCTGGTTTTTCCACTTTTAAACTATGTGAAAATCGTATGAAACTTAGACATCAGTGTCCATAAAGTGTTAGTGAGGCACAGTCATACTAATTTGTTAAGATACTCTTGGCTGTTCTTGTATTGCATCAGCCCAGAATGAATGACACAATTGTGACAGAGACTTTATAAGCCCTCTAAAGCCTAAGGAGTTTGCTGCCTCCCCTCCTGAGCATGGGGCTTGGCAGAGTGAGGAGACTTCAGCTGTGGTGCTCATGTCTTTAAATCTTAGTCCAAAGGGCTCTCTCAGTACAAATGCTCTTAGTCTCTTCATTCGAACATGTTCTTTCCCTTGCTTTTGCTAGGTTAGGAAAAGAAAGGGCTTATTTGTGAGCTGTGGTCAGCAATATAACTTTCCTGCCTTCTGTCACAGAAGTGCCACAATCATCTGTTCTAAGTCTGCCACAAAGCAGTAATCCAGGACTTGTAAGCGGCATGGGTACAGTTCCTTATGAAAATTTTTGCCTTCCCTTTTCCTTTTCCCCTCAAATATGTGTGTGTGTGTGTGTATACATACATATATATATATATACATATGTATTGTGTGTGTGTATGTTTGTGTGAATGTCACATGTGAGCAGGTGTCTGGGGTGTCTAGAAGTGGGTATTTGGTCCCATGGAGTTGAAGTTATAGGCAGCTGTGAACTGTCTGATGTGGGTTCTGGGAACTCAACTCTGGTGCTCTGCGAAACCAATATGTACTCTTAACTATACTGAGCCCACTCCTGCCTTTTGATTTTGATTTTTTGTTTTTTGTTTATTTGTTTGTTTTGAGCTAGGGTCTTATATAGCCTAGGCTAGCCTTGACTATGCACATATATCTGAAGATGACCTTGACCTTCTGGTTCTTCTGCTTTTTACCTCTGGATTGCTGGGATTACAGGTATGAACCACACTCCCAGTTTTAACTTTCAGTATAGAAGATATGTGGAGTTTATTACAAGGTGAGATGGGGGCACCCTCAAGTAAACAGTGTTCAGAGAGAACATTTTATAGAACACATTCTCAGTGGCTGAGAGTGGACAAGGGCTAAAGGGACCGTTGCCTCCTCTTTTCCTTTGTAGAAAGTAAATAAGTAAACTGCAGAAGTCAATATTGTCGAATGACTGGAGCATTTCACTGGAGGAATGGAGGTGTGCTAGGCAGACACTTGATAACCCCGAACCTCTTTTGCTCTGCGTGACTCAAGGAAGTAGCTCTGAGGCTGGGTAACATCCCTGGACCCAGTAGCTCAGTCAGGAAGCTGTGTGTTCTCTAGCCCTCGGCCCTTTCCCAGATGTTGCTACTAATGTGGGTCACCTGGTGAGAGTCCAGCATCTGCTGCTGCTGGCTGGCTGGCAGTGTGACATACATATCTCAAGGCTGCTGAGAGGCCTGGGCAGGCATGGGGACCATGAGCTAGCTTCCGGGTTGGGGGAGCTGGTCTCACTATGTTGCTCAGGCTAGTATTGAATTCTTTTACTCAAGTGATCCTCCTGATCCAGCCTCCCAAGTAGCAAGTGGCATAGGTTCCACCTTGTCTAACTAGCTGTAGGTTTTGTTAGTACTTAGGATAAAAATCCTGTGCTGGGGGCTGAGAGATGGCTCAGTAGTTAAGAATGCTGGCTGCTCTTGCATAGGACCTGAATTTGGTTTCTAGCTCCCAAGTTGGTTTGTCCACAACTGACTGTAACTAGCTCCAGAGAACCCAACACCCTTTTCTGACTTCTATGGATGCTTGAACATATACATCACATAGCATACCTCTCTCTCTCTTCTCTCTCTCTCTCTCTCTCTCTCTCTCTCTCTCTCTCTCTCTCTCTCTCTCTCTCTCTCTCTCCCTATCTCCCTCCCTCTCTCCCTCCCTCCCTCCCTCCCCCCTCTCAAATTCTATGATAGTAATAAATGTGAAGTCATAGTACTTGACTCTCAATAATGTCCTTACATATTTTTTGTCTTGATCTTATAACCTGTCGATAAGGATAAAGGTCTAAGGCCTTAGAGCCAAGTAGACAAAGGTTTGACACTCCTGTGGACTTGCTCAGTCCTGGTGCTAGATACTTAGTATGTCTGAGCTTTAGTTTCTTCATGTATAGGGTTGGGTGATAGTCCTCACAAGAGTTATCAAGAGGAGTAAGTGGGACTGTGGGCCAGTATCTAGTGGTCGTAGCTGGTGTTCAATTAATAATTTTTATTGCCATACTTTTTTTTCAGAGAACAAATCTTGCAGTGTTAGGTGTTTTCCTCAGGGTACTCAGACTATGAAAATCAGAGACCAGGCCAGCCTTCTATTGGGTCTGAAGGTGATGATTTGGCTATTCCTCCTTGGGCACCACTGGCTATTCTTCCTGTTACTAGAAGCAGGACTGGACCTTTGCCCCACTTGTCTCTCTCTCTCTCTCTCTCTCTGTGTGTTTCTATGGACTCATGATTTACTTATACTAAAGGGACCATTGCCTGTTTTTTAAGAGTAACTGCTTGTCACTTAAATATTCACCAGAGAAAGCCTGAAAGCTGAGTTGGTTCCTGGTAGAAATCTAAAAATAATCACTTTCTAGACCTTCTAGACCTTGAGTTCTTGCTTCCTCTTCTCTCCTCTGGACTTTCCGCAGAAAAGAGAAAGCAGAAGTAAGTCTCAGGTGTAGAAACAGCCTTAGTTCAAGGAGAGCAGTGGAGGGTCCTGGGGTTGAGGCCTGGCCTCATGGAATTCATCTTCTTTAAAGGAAGACCTTTTTGTTGTTGTTTGTTTGTTGTTTTTTTTTTTTTGAGACAGGGTTTCTCTGTATTGCTTTGGATGCTATCCTGGAACTCGCTCTGTAGACCAGGCTGGCCTCAAACTCACAGAGATCTACCTACCTCTGTCTCCTGAGTGCTCGGAATAAAGGCATGCGCCACCACTGCCTGGCAAGAAAGACCTTTTTATACAGAAGTGGGAACACCTAGAACTTTTTTACAGGTGACATAAATAAAATAATGGTAGGAATTGAGCCTTCCTAGCCAAAAGTCTAGAAGATTCTGAAACTTAAAACTTGGGGTTTGGCTTTGTTTTTTGTTTGTTTTTATTTATTTTTTTACTATGGTTCGTTGGGTTTTGTTTGTTTTTGAGTTTTTTGTTTGTTTGGTTTTGAGTTTTTTATTTGTTTGTTTTCCTTTTATTTTTTTAAGACAGGGTTTCTTTGTGTAGTCCTGGCTGTCCTAGAACTCACTCTGTAGACTAGACAGGCTCTAACTCAGAGATCTGCCTGCCTCTGCCTCCCAAGGACTGATATTAAAGGCATGTGCCACTATGTCTGGCCAAACCTAAAACCTTTTGGTCACCAAAATGAGCACTCAAAACAAGCAACATGGAAACATTCCCAAATCAAAAAACCTTTGCCATCTACAATTGTTCCACACCCAATCGTTTTAAAAAAATTATATATATGGCTTGGTGGTGGTGGCACACACCTTTAATCCAAGCAGGCACAGGCAGATCTTTGAGTTCAAGACCTGTTTGGTCTACAGGGTGAGTTCCAGGACACCCAGGGCTTTATACAGAGAAGCACTGTCTTCAAAAATTTTACATATATATGGATATGTACCATATGTTTGTGTATCACATGCATGCCTGTCCATGGAAACTACTAGAAGAAGGCATTAGATTCCCTGGAACTGGAATTACAGATTTTTATTGTTGGGAACCACCATGTAGGTGTTGGGAATTAGTGATCGTATCCGCTGAGAGACTTCTCCAGCCCCCACATCCAGTCATTTTGTTGAATGTATATCCAGCCTAGAATGTGCGTACCCCTCTTAGATTGTGGTTTTGCTGCTTTATGTTGGAACCCAGGGCCTGGGAATGTGTGGTCTAAGCATTTAGAGTTTTGATTTGTCTCTCTACTGGGTTGGGTGTGGCAGTCATTTTTTACCTTCTGGTTCTGTGTAGGGAAGTTAATCAGTACCAAGGATGTGAGCCCAGGGCTTTGTCATCTCACTAGAGCTCCACATCTGTGCTCCCAGGTGCAGGGGTGGGGACTCATTCATTGTGAGCTTACCTCACTCAACATTGAGGCCATCTGGGGACAGGGGAACTGAAGCAAAAGATTCTTTACCACAGGTATAAAGGGAGGTCAGTGTCACTTCCTTTAGCTGCTGTGTGGGTTCATCATGGTTAGCCCAGGACATGTGACTTCTGCTTTTTCTAGGAGTTCTTGATCAGAATGGCTTCAGGACGGTTTTACCTGTTCTGCATGGTCCTGGGGTCCCTGGGATCAATGTGCATCCTCTTCACCGCCTATTGGATGCAGTACTGGCGTGACGGCTTTGCCTGGGATGGCAGTGTGCACATGTTCAACTGGCACCCTGTGCTCATGGTCTCTGGCATGGTGGTGCTCTATGGAGCTGGTGAGTAATGTGTTCACAGTGTGAGGGGCCTGAGCAGAACACTATTTACTCTCTCCAAGGATGATATTTTGGGGGTTGAGTTTGAGGCTATCATGGCAGTGTGAATTGGGTTGTTCCTGGGACCAGCTATCATTTGGGGAAAGAAGTGGAATGTGTAGGGACAGCTTCCCAGATACTCAGAGACAAGGTCAGTGAAACTGTCTGTAAAGGACCAGACCATAATTTTTTCAGGCTTTGTAATGGTATGATTGTAATACGTATTGCAGTTACTCAGCTCTGCCATTGTATCATGGGAAGCACATAAAACACATGAATGTAACTGTGTCCCAACAGAATGTTATTCACAGAATTAGGCGGCAGGCTAGATTTGGCCCGGCACTGCATTTTGACTCCTGCTCTAGAATACAAGAAGCTGAAACCTCTTATATTATTATAGTTGAGTCAAGGATCCATCTTTGTCTCATGAATTCAAATCTGTGTCCTGTAACATGGGAAGTGAACCCTGATTGTAGGATGGGAATGATGATAGCATTGGCAAAAGCTGCTTACCATGTATACATCATACATCATCCCCTCTGGTCCTTGACTTTTTATGATGTATATTTTATATGCATATGCATGTACACATGTATGTATGTATGTGAAGGCTATAGGACAATCTCTGGTGTCATTCATTATTAAGCATCTTGTACCTTTAAATTTTTCTTTAAAAAAAATTTTAAGGCATGGTCTCACTGTGTATCCCTGGCTGTCCTTGAACTCTCTCTGTAGACTAAGCTGGCCTTAAACTCACAGAGATCCACCTGCTTCTGCCTCCCAAGTGCTGGGATTAAAGGCATGTACCTCTATGCCTTATCCTAAATTCTTTCCTATATTATTTATTACTGGTGTGGTGGTGGTGGTGGTGTCTGTGTATGTGTATGTGAGCATAGGCATGCCATGTCATGCGTGTGGAAGTCAGAGAACAACTTTTAGGAGTCAGTTCTCTTTTTACTGTGGGTTCTAGGGATCAAACTGAAGTCATTAGGCTTGTGTGGCAAATGCTTTTACCTCTGAGCTATCTTGTGAACCCCATTTTGATTTTTTGAGATAGGCCTCTTCACTGGCCTGGGACTAGTTGATTAGGTTAGGCTGGCCTAAGCATCCTGTCTCTGCTTCCCCAGGGCTGGGATTACAAGTGTGTGTTACCCTGTCCAGATTTTTTATATGGGTTTTGAGGATTAAACTCAGGCCCTCATGCTCATGCAGCAAGCACTTTACCCACTGACCTATCCCTCACCCCATACCCAACCCCCCTTTCTTCTTTTTGAGACAGGGTCTTCCTATATAGCCCAGTCTGACTTTGACCTATACGGCAGTCCTGTCTCAGCCTCTTGGGTGCTGGGATTACAGGCATGTACTACCATGTTTGCTTTCCATGTTGTTCTCTTTTGTTTTGTTTTGTTTTGTTTTTTCAAGATAGGGTTTCTCTGTATAACAGTTCTGGCTGTCCAGGAACTCTCTCTGTGGACCAGGCTGGCCTCAAATTCACAGAGATCCTCCTGCCTCTGCCTTTTAAGTGGAATTAAAAGCATGTGCCACCACCACCAGGTGTCCATTTTGTTCTTTGGGCAAGTTTGTGAGGTGGACTCTGGGCTCTGTAGTCATCTTTTTTGTTGTTGTTGTTGATTTTTTTTTTTTTGGTTTTTCGAGACAAGGTTTCTTTGTATTGTTTTGGAGACTGTCCTGGAACTCGCTCTGTAGACCAGGCTGGCCTTGAACTCACAGAGATCCACCTGCCTCTGCCTCCAGAGTGCTAGGATTAAAGGCATGCGCCATCAACGCCCGGCTTGTAGTCATCTTTTTTTTATAGAAGAGGAAACAGACTTAGAAGAAGCCAGACATGTAAGGAGCAGATGTTAGGTTTGAACCTCTATGCCTGAGCTCTTTAGATTTTTCTTTTTGCTTTTGGTGATATTGGGAATGAAAGTGAACCCAGGGCTCTGCACATGATAGACAGGTACTGAGCTGCACCCTTGGCTTTCATGCCTGGGTTCTTTTGTCCCCCAATCTCTACCCCAACAAGGAGATCCATTCGCCTCTGCCTCCTGAGTGCTGGGATTAAAGGCATATGCCAGTACCACCTGGCCTTGACTGTATGGATGCAGTATGGTGAGACCATGCTAAGACAGCGCTTATCAGCCCACAAGGCTGCACTCAGGATTGAGACAGGACAGTTAAGGAAACTGCTCCTCCCATTTTAACTGGCCCTTCCTGGCCAACTGCCTCTCATAAATGACGGGAAGGTGGCAGGTACTGAGTAGTCTTAGTTAGGGTTTCTATTACTGTGATAAAACAGCATGACCAAAAGCAACTTGGGGAAGAAAAGGTTTGTTTCACCTTATACTTTTAGTCGAGCGTGAAGAGAAGTGAGGGCAGGAACTGAGGCAGAGGCTGTGAAGGAAAGTGACTTACTGGGTTGTACCTCGTGGCTTGTTCACCCTGCTTTCTTTCTTAATCTTTAGTCTTTATTGTGTGTGTATGGTTGTTCTGTCTGCATGTCTGTGCACTATGTGTATCCAGTGCCTATGGAGGCCAGAAGAGGGTGTTGGATACCCCTGGGACTGGAGTTACAGATGGCTGGGAACTGTCATGTAGGTGCTGGGCATTGAACTCTGGCCCTCTGGAAGAGCAACCAGTGCTGTTAACAACTGAGCCATTTCTCCATCTCTGCTTTCTAGGACCACCAGCCCAGGGATGGTATCACCTCCAGTGAACTTGGCCCTCCCATATCAGTGGTTAAAGTAAATGCCCTACATACTTTCCTATAGGCAATCTGATGAGAGGGAGTTTCTCAATTGAGATTCCCTCTTCTCAGCTAACTAGCTTGTGTCAAGCTGACAAGAAACCAACCAGGACAGGAGTTGATGTTCTGACACTTATGTGGGGTCACAGCAGGGGAGTGTAAGGCGATGTGGCCAAGCCCTGGGACTGTTTTCTCCTGCAGCCTCGCTGGTGTACCGCCTGCCCTTGTCATGGGTAGGGCCCAAACTGCCCTGGAAAGTTCTCCATGCAGCACTGCACCTGCTGGCCTTCACCTTCACCGTTGTGGGGTTAGTTGCTGTCTTTCAGTTCCACAACCATTCAAAAATCACACACCTCTATTCCCTGCATAGCTGGCTGGGCATCACCACTGTCATCTTCTTCGCCTGTCAGGTAGGTGCCCTCTGCCCTCTTCTGAGTCCTTATGGGGACCATGGGTTCTGGGTGTGGCTTTACCAGCCTCAGCTCCAAATATTCTCTCTGGCCTCCTATCCCGTTAGACTGCCCACCCCTCCTGACTTTGTCATCCCACATGTCATCCCACATGTCATGCTGACTCCAAAGCACCCTCTTTTCCTGCTTTCTCCACTCTTCCCTCTTTGAACCAAAGCAGTTCTAAGAGGGGTTTCAGTATTCCAGTGCCAGTTCTGTGCTTGAATTGTTTATGACCCAGGACTGGCAGGCATTGAAAGCTAACAAGGATGACTGGGCTTTTTGAGTATATTGCTGTAAGCCTTTCACACACAAGTTGCTGGTTGCTTTCACACACTTGTGTAATAGAAATGGGCAGATCACAGTGAGGTATGGTGTGTGCTTGGGGCTGTGCATGGTGGCAATGTCTGAGTTGAAAAAGAAGGGCCAGAGGACAGTGGCCAGCAGGAGTAATCGATGTCATATGGGGGTAGATGGCGTGATAGACGGGTACAACTATAGTCGACCAGTCGCTTCAGGGACTTCCTCCCTTGTGTCCACAGTGGTCCCTGGGCTTTGCCATCTTCCTGCTGCCCTGGGCATCTCAGTGGCTGCGAAGCCTCCTGAAACCTGTGCATGTCTACTTTGGAGCCTGCATCCTTTCCCTGTCCATCACATCTGTTATTTCCGGCATCAATGAGAAGCTTTTCTTTGTTTTGTAAGTTCTAAGGGGCCTCTGACACTAAGGCATATGGGAGGGGGTGGGGGCTTCAGGAGATGCATCCTATAATCACAGGACCCAGCCAGCAGAGGTCAGCCTCTGGGCTTGAGTCCATTCTGATCTGGAAGGTGACAGTGTTTAGGTTGAAATTGGTAACCTGGCAATACTTACTGAACATCAAGTGATACAGCACTCACTGTTTGTCAGAAGTTGCTCAAAGCACCCCAACTTTAATCCTCTTAAGCACCTACAACATTTGGTGCTGTTGTCAAAAGAGTATAATGACCTAGGCATGGTGGTGTCTGCCTGTAATCCTACTACCACAGGCAGGCAGATCCTGTGAGTTCAAGGCAGGCAGGTCTCCATTGAGACCTTGTTTAAAAAAAAGTGTAGTGGGGCACAGAGTAACTTATCTAAGAGCACACAGCCAGAAAAGGCAGACGTAGGAACTGAGTTAGGCAGACTGCCTCCACAGCAGCATGTCTAGCTGCTGTCGTCCTGGGTTTTGAAGTAGTATGGTAAAGTGAGCAACAAATAAAATTGGAGATCTTGGTTGTGCTATGTACTGATTATGTAAATGTGGGCAGGTTCATTTCACTTGGGTCTTCCGTTTTTCTCATAGGAAAAGCATTACAAAGTTCTTCCCTGGCACTATGGTAGGGGCTTAGGAGGTATGTTAATTCCAGGTCATAGGAATCTAGTCTCCTGCTAGGCTGACTAAAAAAAAAGTTAGAAAATTATTTCAAAGACCTACATTATTTTGTCATTTTCAGGAAAAATGTCACCAAACCCTACTCCAGCCTGCCTAGTGAGGCAGTCTTTGCCAACAGCACTGGGATCTTGGTTGTGGCTTTTGGCCTGCTGGTTCTCTATGTTCTTCTGGCTTCACCATGGAAACGTCCAGATCCAGGAGCTCTGACTGACAGACAGGTATGGCTGCTTGCCTCCCACTCTCGGTGGGGTAAGGCCAGGTCTAGAGAAGGACCCAGAAAGGACTTGCACCTTGCTGAGAAGATTGATCCTGTAGCTAGGTGGAAAGCTAAGCACCTTGAAGGTGGAGACTGAGTGGCAGATGGGAACTCTGGCATCAGAGCAGCAATCCTGGGAGTGACTTCCCAAGCTTCCCCGTCCCCTGTAAGAGTCCTTGGCTTTGTGAGATGACACAGTGAAGGGCTTGAGCCTGGTGAAGGTGTGCCAGCTCTGTGGCCAGTGCTTAGTGACACATCAAATGCTGAAAGCAGGTCTTGCCTGTGCTTGGCCTGCAGATGTGGGAAGATGTGCTGTGAACTAGTCTCGGGGACTTTTGGGCTTCCCTGAAAAATCTGGTGGCTCGGTTGGGTTCACCCTGCAGGGGGCGGGTCTATCTGAGCAGCTCAGCCTGGTGTGCCTCCTGAAGCTCAGGGGCTCTTCCAAGGTCATGTCTTTAATCCCTATGCATCTTCCTTCTTTCCAGCCCCTGTTGCATGACAGGGAGTGAAGCGGGCGGTGCACTCTGCTCCCTCAGAAACTCTTCTATACTTGGAGCTCCTGGTTCATTTCAGCAACCGACTTCTCTTGGACTACAGACAAACTTACTACTACAGTTCCTGGCCTGCTCTCTCCAGCTGCTTGCTGTCCATCTGCTTTTCTTGATGGCATTTTTTCAAGGGCCACCTTGCCTTGGTAATTCATGTCTCTCCTGCTGGTCTGAAGAATGGGCTGCCTTCTCCTCACCACTCCCAGGGATGTGGTAGAAGTCAAAGCAGAGGCTCAAATGTAGTTCATACAGGCAAGGTAGAAAGGCTGCTGTTTGTGGGAGCATTTGTGTACATTGGCAGGCTTCCTCTGCTGTGTCCTGGATGTGCATTTGGTGGGCAGAGACGCTGGGAAGTACTCGTAGGACAGTGTCCGCAGGAGGCTTTGCAGGAGTCAGGTCACTCAGCTGCTCTGCTCACTGTGACACACTGTGTTGTGTGTGTCGTGACTATGCCTCCCTTTCTTCTAGTTGCTGCTTCAGCTGCTGCCTGGATCCCGCCCTTTCCCTGTGACTTACATGCCTGTCCCCCTCAGGCAACCCTATGAGCCCTGGTAAACTGTTCTCCCATGAACAAAGAGTCTGACCCTAGAGTCCCAAGTGATGAGTAACAGGTTTCTGTGGCCTTCCTTTCTGTCCCCTTGTGGGTATAGGCTTTTGTGCCTCTTTTAGTCACGCTCTTCCCTGACAGGGTCCAGCCCACTAAGAAATTGAAACCAGCATTATGAAGCAATTTTCTTAGCAGAGATCTGGGAGCCACCACTGCCTTCAGAGGTGTTCCTTACTGAGTACTGGGTGCTTTTGTCCCTCCACCCCCTCCATGGTATGCCAGAGTGTGAGCTTTGCCTTTCTCCTGAATAGAAACTGCGTAGAAGGGACGAATCTTGCCCCTCTGCTTCGTATTAGCCTGTGGCACATCATACCTTCTCAGATAAGCCCTGCACAGTCCCTTGCAGACTGCTGTACTTAGCAGACCAATAGGAGGAGTTGGGTTCCTGACTCCTTGCAGATAGGCTGAACTTCAACCCTGTGGCCAGAAGTTGGCAGGAGGGCTGCCATGGATTTCCTGACCAAATGAAGCCTGCACATCGTTGATCCTGTGGGGCACCTTGGACAAGACCAGGTCCCCTGGTTTGCTCATGAGTTTGCTACTTCTTCATGAATCTGATTTTTATTAAATGTGTTTTTAAACACTAAAAGTGTCTTCTTTTGTTCAGATTGGATAGCTTAAACACAACCACTTATTTCTCATACTTTAGGAGGCTAGAAGTCCAGGATGAAGGCAACAACATGTGTCTGGTGAGGGCCTCTCCCCACTATCTTTGTACTGTGGCTTCACATGGTGCAGAGTATAAGTTGTTCCCAGACCTTTGTAAATGATGGTGCATCCCATTCAGAAGGGTCCCACCCTTACCTCTAATCACTTACAAGGGTCCTACCTCTTTTATTGCTATTTTTGAGACAGTGTCTCACTATGGAGCCCTGGCTGGCCTGGAACTTGTCATGTAGACCAAGCTGGCCTCAAACTCATAGAGATCTACCTACCTCTGCCTCCAGAGTGCTCAGACTAAAGGGTATGCCACCAGGCTGGGCTCAAGGCTCTGCCTCTTAATTCCATCACATTAGGGATAAAGTTTCAAGCATAGGAGTTCTGTTGGAACACAGAAGTCGTCTTTGCTGACATGAAAATGTACTCAAGTGAGAGTTTTGGCAATATACAAAGGCCTCAGGACAGATCTGACCCTTACAGATGCAGAGGAGGGCCAACCAGAAATCCACGACTGTATTCCTGGAATTGCAAACTACTTATTTGAGTAGGCATCCTTCATAATGAAGGGCTTTAAGACATACACTCCTTTCATTAAGGAAGGGGTGTTCCCTGCCTTAAAGTCTGGAAAATGAGACTCAAAAATGAGTGAAGGTGGACAGGTTAAGTAGAGTGACCTGATGTTACTCTACTACTTGATGGCAGAGTTGGGATCCACAAGTCATTGTTTGATGCCAACCTCTACCTCTCTGTTGGCCACATGTCTGTGCATACTGACAACTAGCTTTGTTGCCAGGGACTTCTGATGGAGCAGATTGACAGGAGTCCCATTGCCTAATCTGAGAACACAGATGATGTGGTCACTTTCTTAGTATGACTAGCTATAGGAAGGGAGTATACCTGACACCAGTGCTAACACTTGTTCTGGTGACCGCACTAGAACACCAGACTACCCAGGATCCTAACCCTCACCTGAGTCTTCATGTCCTTGTGATGGTTACCATTCTGAAAAAAAAATCTTATTTTGTGTGTATAGGCATGCTCATGCCATAGCACATGTGGCGGTCAGAAGATAAGTTTTTCTTCTGCCACCTAATGGGATCTGGTGATCAAATTCAAGTTGTTAGGCCTTCAGGCTACTACCCACTGAGCCATCTTACTGGCCTGAGATGGGTATCATTGAATTTTATAGATCTCAACTGGCCAAATAATGGGCATGAGTTCCCATAGCTGCCTTAAAACAGAACCAGACTTTACATGGATATGACCTGCCAGTGCCTTAAATCACTTCTCTGCACTGAGGATGTCATTCCTGGTGTGAGCTATTTGTGTTGTCTCAGGCATCAGTCCTTCAACTGGTCAGGGTATAGGCAATGATTGCTCTAGATCAGTGCATTGTGACCCCTTTGGCAAACCTCTAACTCCAAAAATATTTAATTATGACTCATAACAGCAAAATTACAGTTATGAAGTAGCAATGGAAATAATCTTATGGTCGGGGTCACTGCAACATGAGGAGCTGTATTAAAGAGTTGCAGTATTCCAGGGCAGCCTCCAAAACAATACAGAGAAACCCTGTCTCAAAAACCAAAAAAAAGTTGCAGTATTAATATAACCACTGCTCTAGAGAGACCTTGGCCCTGCAGTTTCTGAACTATACACCAGAGCCTCAAAACAGTGAGTCCATTTCTTCTGGCGACCCAATGCCCATTAATTTCTGAAGAATCAATTGATCTGGTGCAGAGAAAAGACTTTGTGTCAATCTGACATGCATTGGTATGGTGTATGCTGGGACAGAAAAGGGGAGTCCCTATGGAACCAGTCCAGCTGAGCAGAACTTGTCTGGGGCACAGGTGATGAACTCCCTGCCAAGAGATGGTTCATGGTCACGATAACCAGAGATAAAGTCTCAAAGATGAGGCAGCTGCTTGTGGCTTCAATGGGTTTTATTAGCTTTCCTTTATACACTGGGTATAGGAGGCCTTCTAGAGGAAGAGGCCTAGAGTCTGGAAACCAAACGTGTACACCTGGTTAGGGGCTGTGCTGTACTCTGGAAAGCCTTATCACTGCCATTCAGAACTGGCTGGAGTGGGGTTAACATGGCCTGAGGGACTCCTCTTCCTGAGGAGGGAAAGAGCGGTGCTGGTGGGGCACATGATTCACTCAGCCAGACCAGAGGTGTGGTGAGGACGTCCTACTTCACGAAGAGGATGGGAGCTAGGGTGAGAGGTAAGGTGACCATTTGAAGGCAAGAGGAAGAGAACAGGGAGATGAGGAGGGAAAAGGCAGTCATGCCCCCTGTGTCTGCAAGACCTCCAGGATGGCACGGAAGATGGCAGCAACTGCCACTGCTCCAGGGTCTGGCTGATCTAGTTTTGCAGAGCTGATGTAACTGGCTCTCCCAGCGCCAGCTTGCATGTTCTTGGTGGCCTTGGCTGCAGCTTCAGCACTCTGAGGAAGTGTGGGATTAGGCTTAAGTACATGACACTAGGCCTTTCCTTTCCCACTGCGCCCTGAAAATCTGAGCCTGGACTCTTTGTCCTGCTCTGTCAGCAATCCTGTGTCACCACTCAGTGGAAGGTCACCTCCCATCTATTTCTAGCAAGGGTCGGGGCCCTTATTTGCTGGACCAGGCTCAGTGTATCTCTCTAGCCATATAACACTTCCTGAGATAGGTGTTCAACCCTACTTTATACAGGTGGAAATGAAGGTAGAAAAGGCCATTAACTTGCTTAAGGCCACCTAGCTATTGGAGCTTGGAGGCTCCTTGATTATCCAGCTGAGCCTCACTCACCTTGACTGCTTTAGTCAGAACTGGGAGGACACTGGCTCCTGGGCTCTTCCAGGCTTGGAGCTCCTGTGCTGCTGCCCACAGAGAATCCAGCTGAACAAGATCAGAGAGAGGGGGGTTGAGAGGAAGTCCTGCCACGGAGGATAGCTGTAGGGCTTGTGGGCTCAAAAGGGGCAAGGGGAGCTCCACTCTGAGTACACACCATTGTCCTGTCTCCTGGTGCAGCCTTTCCATACCTGACAGAATAGGCAAGATGGTTACTTTAGCTGTGAGGACAGATCCTGCATCCTCAGCCAGCCACCTCCCCAGCACACCCCTGGTGTTGGGACACAGGGCCCTGGCTCACTTCTGCATGGCCTCCATGCCGGCATCCATGGCAGCAGACCAGGCTGGGAGGTCAGTCTTCTCTTTGAGAGGCTGAGCAGCTGCAGTCAGGAATAGGCCATAGAGCTGAGGAAGACCAGAATGCTGAGTACATGGAGCTGGCCGGCACCCAGCCAAACCTGCGTCCCTCCCCATCAGTCTGTCCTTCCAGGGCCTGTCGCTACTCACCGCCCCAGATGAGCCTCCCATCTTCTCCAGCAGCAGGACAGACAGTTTGGAGAGTACCTGAGCAGGGCTGGCTAGAGCTGGGCCCTCCTTTAGCCAGCCCTGGATGGCTGCAGGTAGAGAGACAGGTGGCCCTTCAGAGACACTATCCACTTCCTTTTCTCTCCCTGGTCTCTGCTACTGTTGTCCTGATTGGTCTTATTGACTGAGGGATGTGATTTCTGCCTGCTTTCTTTTTACTCTTCTCTTCCCATTACCCTAAGTTGGCCTGGAAATCCTCATGAGCCACCATTGCCTGATTTTGTGCACTTTTGTAACCATAGAGATGGGAGTTGTGCTTGGCTTGAGGTATGTCCTGAATGCATCTATCATCCATCCATCCATCCATCCATCCATCCATCCATCCATCCATTTTTCGAGACAGGGTTTCTCTATATATCCCTTGTTGTCCTGGAACTCACTCTGTAGACCAGGCTGGTCTTGAATTTAAGAGATCCACTTGCCTCTGCCTTCTAGGTGCTGGGATTAAAGGTGTGCACCACCACTGACCAGCAGAATGCATCTTTATTTTTTTCTTTTTTGGGTGGTGGTGTTTCAAGACAGGGTTTCTCTGTGGCTTTGGAGGCTGTCCTGGAACTAGCTCTTGTAGACCAAGCAGGCTGGTCTCAAACTCACAGAGATCTGCCTGCCCCTGCCTCCCAAGTTCTGGGATTAAAGGTGTGTGCCACCACCACCCGGTGCATCTTTTTTAAATGGCTGAACAAGAGCTTTTTTTGTGGGTGTGACATGTGAGAGTGCTAAGAGCAGCGGAATGAACTTTCTTTCCCATTTGTAGTGTGGGAAACTCCTTTCTTTTGGGAAGATAGGCTGAGGCGTGTGCCAAATGGCCTTACTTGGTGAAGGAAGGTAGCAACTCCATGAAAGCCCCTCAATGTTCTGGAATTAGTTTCATGGAATGTCCAAATCTAAGAGTTAGTATGCCATATTAGCTCTTGAGCACCCCATAGAGGCCAACCTTTGGCAGCACGGCTATGGGTAATGCCACAATCCCCGTCACCAGCAGCCCTGTCCAAGGCATTCAAGTGCTCCTCCAGTCCGAGCAGGGTGGTGCATACTCGCTCCAGCACGAGTACTGTCTGCTTTGGCGGTACACCTAAAAAGGGAGGACAGTACACAGAGGTCTAGTTGGACCTTCTCACTGCCAAACTGACCAGTGTGGGAGGTATGTGTGTCAAGGTCCCAAGTCTGACCACCAAGGACTCTTGTCCCTCTCCATCAGCGGGGCCCAGTACCTCCTGCTGCAGTGGCCTCAGTGACCTCTGGAGGCTCTGTGGGAGCTGCTCGGATCCGCTTCCGCCCAGTCACAAAGACCTTGGCCATGTGAGGCCAGGCTGTTGCAGTAGTTTCAGCATCTAGAGGCAGCCATATAACTTTTTCAGACAAGGTCAAGTGGGGCCTGGACTCCCCAACCGGCCTTGAAGACTGCTTTCCTAAGCTGTCTGCAGGAAGGCGGTCCAAATGAATAAGAATATACTGAGTGTCTACTGAATACTGAGTGGGGGCAGGGCATGTCTCTGGGGACAGGGTAAGGC